AACTAAACTAAAAGTGTAATCTGAAAAGCATGAGTGAATTTTCAGAGAATGACAGAATGGAGATATCAGCTGTGAATCTATGCTTTTGATCTTCAAGAACCCCACGTGTCAAGTTGTATGAGTTGGGATTAGATCATTGTATTCGGCAGATTGTCATTCCATCTCCTATAGGCACCTAATGTTCCAAAAGGCACAACATTATGGAAGAACTGAATATTTCCATAGAGAAATTGATAAAAGTGCATAGTAATGCAAGTACTTACCATACTGATGCTTACTCGCTTGTCCGCCATTAGGTTTTGATTGAAATTCTGAATGCTGATAGTCTTTGCATCATTTACCTGTTACAAGGAAAAGCTATGCGAAGATACTTCATCTGAATAAGAACAATAGGCAAACAATTTACCAATGGGTCAGCAACTTTGCCATGCCAAAGGACATTATCAATCACAATTACTCCCCCAACTCTAACCTGTAAACACAACAACTATAACCTAAATTTTCCAGGCAAAGAAATGATAGTATTTAACAAAACAATCATATGTTTGAGATTCTAGTTTGGTATTACCTGCTGCAATAGCAGTTCAAAATATTCTTGATTCATCCTCTTCTCAGCATCAAAAAATGCAAAATCATAGCTGCTTTAGAGATGCAATGCATGAGTTATAGTTGGTCACATGATGCACTCTATCAAGAAAATGCAATGCACGCAAAAGGATGGGGAACAATATTCGTCACTGCAACTCACCTGCAAGTCTCACCGTTAGAAATCATAGATTTCAAGACATCTGCAGCTAGTCCATGTTTCACGCTTTCCTAACACCAAAAAACAACATAATTCTACATAAGATACCATCGAAACAAGTCTGATTAATGCAAACACTTCAGGCAATTAAAATACTAATACCGCTTCGAATAGGAAAGATATTTTATTACATGAAAAGTTAGTTACCTTGTGCGAAACATCGGCTAGTTCGTAATACCTTTTTGCAACCTCAAGGGATCTAGCATCCCTTTCACAGGCAACTAAACAGCCTGATACTGGTAAAGCCAATGCAACAGCCAATGATGAGTATCCCTAAAGAAAAAGCCAATGCGGATTCTCTTTACCAAACTCAAAATCTAACTTAAAAAAGGGGAATAGTTCCAACTTCCAAAACTTTAATGCTATATTTGAGAGCATGAATTTGAAAATTTGGATTTGGATTTCATTTGCTATATAAATTGTAAAAATAAAATGCATATATTATAATAATATAGCTGGATTTCAATACCATATATATTGTAAAAGTATAAAAACAAATTAATCAAATTCATAAATACGAATCCATGAATTGGATAAATAATTATGAATGTATCACTTGTAGGTGTTTTATCACTCAATTTACACTACTTCATATCTAAATCCAAATTTTGAAATTCAAGTTTCCAAAGATTAGATCGATGTCAAAAGGAATCAGAGCATAGACTTACTGTGTAAACACCAAGTTCAATACATCTTTCAGCCCCGAGAATCTGTACTAGCATTGCTAGTAACTGTGCTTGATCGGGAGACACCTTTTAAAATGTAAAATAAATTCTTATAAAAAAAATGTAAAATAAATAAATAAATCACATTTTTTTGTTGTATAAAAAAAGAGAAAATGAAACTATGGTTGATCATTTGGTACCTGCATTTGACTGCCGCGCATACTAGCGGTTTCTTCCCGCAACTGCCAGATAATCTGAACACAGTAAACGTAAAAATTATGGCGAAATGGAGTTCTTTGAAAAAAGGTGGAATTTTGTTTTCAGAAGTACCGGAGGTTCGCGAACATTGGCGAGGATATAATCGCAGAGGTGAGGAGTGCTGCTGATGACTTGCTTGTTGCCGTATTTCTCATCGTCTGTTACGATGAAAGGAGCAGCATCTGATGAAAGCGAGCAATTCTTCATGGGATTGCTCAACTTTATGAGTCTGGATTTGGCAGCGTGTGAAGATAACGAATGGAATCGTTGTGGTCTACTTTGATAAACTATGGCGCGTTGACAAGCCGAGGCTGAGCAGCGAATAATAGCAAAGATGGAGGCCATTTGGGGAAGAGAAAAAAGGGATCGGGAAGTTTTCGGATTATTGCTGCGCTTTTTGTCATGGGCATGGATCGGGTCTTGTTATCCCATTTGGTCACTCAATTATTATTGAGTTTCTGTTTTGATCACCAAACGTTTTTTTTGACAAATTAGTCACTAGCATTACTTTATACTCTAAAATGGTCACCACGTCCCAAAATTATCAGAAGTGATGACATGACCTAATATAATAATAATTATAATCTTAAAATTTATATATTCTATTGATTTAGTTCTAATTTAAAAATAATTTAATAAATTTAATCTTTAATATTTACAAATTATTTCAATTTGATTCTCATTTTAATTCTAAATAATTCAATAAAGTTGTTTTACTGTCACTTATTAATAATTATTTATTCAGTCAGATAATTTGATTATTTACTTTCTGGCTTTAAACTTTAATCAACGTAATTCTTTTGTAACATTTCATATCATTCATAAAACTTGGGGGAAATTTTACAATAATGTAGGCAACGTTCACATAATTCGACAATCGTTCCATCATTTTGGTAAATCAAGTGAGAGACGATAGCTTCCGAGACTGCTCAATGATGCAAGCAGTTGAAGGGCATTGTTGCAAAACAACCTGATGGTCATCGGCGGTCATATCCATTCCCAGGGTCAAGAGTTGCCAAAACAGCCCACCAGCACAAGATTCCCCACTGCTAGCACTGTTGTAGATAGCAGTGTAAATCCGTTGGAAATACTCGTCTCTCTTCTCTAAGCTGTAGCCTGCCAACTTAGAATCCCTGCCAAACTCCCCTATGAGAAGCGGGTTTTTAACTACTGCATTGCACTCTAAAATGTGGGCTTCGATCCATTTGTCAACAAAAGCAAGCTGGCCCTCGTCGTTTGAGTTCGTCGGTGCCGGTAACCGCAGATTAGTTAAAAATGAAAAATTGGGTTTGAATTTATCGGATGGATTTTCGAGTTAAGATCATAATTGACAGATACTAGAGATGTTACAACTGCTCGGGGTAGATATGAATGGTTGCAAAATCGATCTCAGTGATTAGATCATTGGAAATGAAATCAGTCCCCGTTGGATTATTATTTGGATTGTATTGTTTCTTCGCTGGCATTGATTCTCCATAAAATCCTTCAAGTCTTATTTCCAGTAAATGATGATTGTCGATGGACTTGGCATGTGCAGCCATTTCTTTTATCCAGTTCTGTAAATATAGTAAGCCAGAACGAAACAAAATTCAGCCGAAAGTGGGAATATATCAGATTTTTTCGACAAAGTACCTTAACATGATTCTTGTAGAATTCTTTGACAAACGGGTTTGTGAAAAACTCATCTTCATTGCTAAGGTTCTGACCACATCGGTTTGCCCAGTGAACATACTTAGGTTTTCCTCCGAAGTCTTTGAAGTTATTCACCAAACTCAGAATCAAGTGAATTCTGAACTTCTTCGCTTCTGCAACAACTAAGTCCAGTCTGGAGAGGCCTGTAATCAGTACCATCGTTAAAAGCCCAAGCTCTTGCGATGTTCATGCCATACTTGGAGGCTTCTCGGAACGTGTCCGTAACCTTGTCTCTCGTAGAAGGATCGGCGGCCAGCACCATCATCTAATAAGCATTGAAGCCGTTCAAGTAAAACGGCTTTCCGTTGACTACGAAGTTGGTTAATCCTCTTGTTTGAACGAAGCTGCCTTCGCTTGTTTCGGCCTGGGGATGGCAGTTTCCATGGCGGAAGGTCGCCGACGTTAGGATTAACAGGACGAAGAAAGGGAACCAACGATTTCCCTTCATGTTAGTCATCAACGAAACACAAATGCTACAAAATATAGTGATTATTTCAGGTTTTATATTTCTAATAGAACCAAAAGGACAAGGAGGAGTAGAACGTATGGACTAAAGCAAACGGAAGTTTATTGTAGGTTGAGGAACGGTCGCTCGGTTTAAATATGCATAAAATCTCATTACTTTTAAAAAAAATTATTGTGTAATATCAATCACGAGTTAGTATAACAAGACGAGTTGTTATGTTTTATTCGATTTAATTTTTATTTACGTTAATTAAAGTCAAATAAAAAATAATATTTAATATAAATAATCGAAATTGTAACTTATCTTACCAATTACAAGTTAGTATAATGAAATAATGTGTTAGATTTTCTGTCGTTTTATTTGTAATTATATTATTAGAGTTATGTGGTTAAGATTTTTTTTATTGAATTAGAGATCATTAAAAATAAATTCACTTAAAATAAATTTTAAAATGGGGATATGTGATAACAAACATATGGAGTATAAGAAACTCAGTTTACATAACACATTAGAGAAATTTATGTAAACAAGAAATTATTTTATTTGATGTAAGTTGATTAAACCTTAAATCACATTTAGATGCAAATTTTATTTTTTGACATAGTGAATTTTCTTCGTCTTATGTTCGTCCCAAAAAAATTACGTTAAATCTTGATGTTTTTTATTTTACAATTATTTTATATTGATTATTATCATCTTAAATTATTATAGATATTAACTTTTAAATTCGATCCAAGCATTCACTCTCCTCGTAAAAACCATAATATATACAATCTCATACAATAAACGTTAATCTTTCTATGAATTCATTGAGTGATTTTAGTGGTAAAAAGAAATATTATTCTTCCTAGAGGACTTGGACTCGAGCAACTACATCTGTGTAAGGTATGAATACATTATTGATAGACTAAGAATTATTTTTACAAGTACAATATTATAATTACTCTAGTCTATTAAAAAACATTAATTTTATAAAAATTTCAACAAAAAATTAATTATTTATAAACAAGTATTCGACCAGCCGTTCACCTAATTTTTGGACCTAAATGACCCATTTCATTCCTGTCCACCATATAAATATACGGAGAAAATAAGGAAAAAATTCGCGCGCATTCCTCGATCCAATTTTGAAAATCGAGGCTTTCTCCGCTAAGCACCTCCTCAAATTTCAAATTCGAATTCGCTCTCCCTTCTCTGTGGTAAGAATTATTTTTCGTGATCGATTCTATAATTTTTAGAAAGCGACGAACATTTTTTCAATCAATGTTTACTTTTCTCTTTGGTTTCATGAAGAGAGATATCAAGTTTTAAAGATAAGATGGAAAGTGGAGCAAATGAAGCTTCTAAGAAACGCATGAAACCAAATGTAAAAGCTTCCTTCATTTCTCCTTTTGTTTTATTTATCTTTATTTTCCTTTTCCAATCAAATTGATATTTGATTGTGTTGTAAACATTAGGTGGAAGAGAAAGAAGAAGATCAAGTAAGCAATGGAACTGGTATGGAAATAACAGTTCACGAACAATCCGAGGCAAACATCAATGGATCTGAAGAAATGGAACTCAATATCTCTCACATTCTTGAAAAGATTGAGCGCTTTACTCAACTGGTAACAATAATTTAATCACTGTTTTTTTCTTCAATATTGCTGCTATTCATAATAACTTCAATTAATTCTTTTTTATATATTTTCATGGAGGTTTCTGAGCTGTTAGAATCTGGAAAGACGATGTTCAGGGAATTGAGTGACGAATTTGAAGAGCGGCTAATTACGTAAGATTCTCCCTCTATTATTTATGAAATCGAAATCGAAAACTGGAGGAGAAACTTCTTTTTTAAAAAAGTTTGTTTTAATGAATTTTGTTTGTTGAAGGATACATAAAGAACAAATGGAGAAATGGCAGGACGAGGTCAAGGAGCTGAGATTGATAGATGCATCAAATGAAGAGGCAAGTGCTCTGTTGAACAATGCTCGTATTTTACTTCAGAATCCCCTTTTCGAATCTTGAAAGATAAATTCTCATATGGTATTCAATTCCAACTAGCTTTTTCTTTCCATGGAGGAAGTGAAGAGAGATTTGTCAATGGTAGTAATTAGTTTCAAGCAATTTGAATTCTTTTGATTCTAAAATTGTGATGTAAATTGGCTTCAAACATTCTGAATCCTCAGTTACCAGTTTGGCTAATGGAATTATAATTTGCAAAAAATGATTGGCTAAAGGAAACAGTTTGAATCCTTTGAAGGAGCTGTTTGTTGGGTAGTTTACTCGTGCATTGAGCTCTCAGCAAAGATACGAAAATCGGATCCATTATCCATATAATCGTTGATCTTTGATATGTTCATTGCTCTTTTCACTGTGAAGTAGACAATTATCTTCCCTTCAAGCCATGACTTGTTTAGTTATCCATATATCATTAAACAATAACAAAATACCGTTTTCAACACCATTCTAATTGAAGAACGTGAAACCATGTGTCATGTGTGAGCAATTGAATTGATTTGAATGTGGCATCACCCATGTGCAATATAGGTGTAAACCATTAAAGCAAACTATGTTATATATTTATATGTATGGGTAGGAACAATCTGTGCTATAGGGTTCCAATAAATAAACAATCTGCAGCTAACATGGCTTCTCCTCTCTTCCATTGCTTTAAATACATCATCATTGTTTATGAATATGATTTCCGCTTGTAAGTAAAAGATAATCTGCATTTTTCTTTTTATTTTAGGAGTTGACTTTGATTTTCCAATGTCAGTTGCAGAATCTCCTTTCAATTTGTTGTTAAAGTTCATTTCCTTTTTTTTTATTCTATTTGATTTAGGCCTATTTTTAGTTTTGGTGAAAACTATCTTCTAGAATCATTGTTAACGAAACTTTAGTTTTAGTAATTTTCTAATTCATTTATTGTCAAGATGTTTAATTGACATTTATCTATTAAATTACTAATTCAAAGAAACGAAATGGAAGTTCTTACTTATTGGTAACTATGACAAACTTTTGGGAATTATGAAAATGACAGGGCTAATTTTATAATGATTTCATATTATAGTGTAAGCTACTTGATATGTTTGGGTGGCTGTTTTAATTAGTGGACACATTCTGAGTGGTGCGTATATCAGTATGGAATATTGCAGTCGTTTTCAGTGTCTGCTCCTGTGTTGGCGGAATGTAGTGTCTGCTGTATTCTGTTTTGTTTGGTACTACGTCTTCTGGAGAGCTGGGTATGCCTGTGCCTGTGCCTGCTGCTATTGTAGTTGAGTGTTTGGAATAAGGAGTCAGGGTCTGCTGATGTTTTCTAAGGAAGGGTATGTGATGTTGTTTTTCTTTGGTTTTGGGTGGATTGTATTTTCAACGTATTGTGTAGTGTTTGAGTTTAACAGTTGTGGTATGTATTCTATGATACGAACATGGATACTCTTTTTCCTCCACTTAGGTTTAGGGAGGTTTTTTAACGAGGTCCATGTTTGTGTCCGATTTTGTATTTGACTCGATTCTTAAATACAAAATCGACATCTTTCAAAAAAAAATTAATGGGAAAAACCCAGTTGTCATTGTTAAAAAAATAAATAAAAATATGGGAAAACCCCATCATCTTTGTTTGAGTGAAGCTAATCATACCCAACCACCAAAACAACTAATAATATTATTATGTTGAACCCTTCAAAACATACTCCAGATGAATTCAAATGATAACATGGCCATTTGCTTGCAACAGAATTAACTTATTTTTTTTTTGCAATTAAATTACATCACTCAATCCCAAACAAACAGAACATTGTTAAGTACAAAACAGTATTATTACATCAACCCATAGGTTTTTTCTCCTCTGTTTTAACTCTTCTTAGGGGCAAGCCTGCTCTTGATCTGGTCGACTTCCCGGGTGCTAATTTGGAAAGCCTTGGTCAACACATTATCAGGCACTGCCGGTGTAGAAGCAAACAAGGTAGCGGCAATGGCCTGGGTTCCAGGCAACTGGCTATTGAATGCGGCAATTACCGATGCCGGCTGGTGACCGTTGTTCTTCTGGAAATGAACCAAACCCTTGGGGAACACAAAAACGTCACCCTTTTTAATAGATTTGGAGTACAACTTGTTGGCTGTGGTGATGAACCCTACATCCAATTCACCTTCTAGAACAAAGATGGTTTCAGTGGCACGCGGATGAGTGTGGGGTGGGTTAAGTCCACCAGGTAGATAGTCAATGCGAGTAAGTGAAACTCCAAGAGTGTTCAGCCCCGGGATTTGCATGACATTGGCTCCGGTCACCACCGAGCCCACGGTATTGTTGATGACTGCAGGTTTAGCGAGACCGCTAAAGAAAAAATCGGCTTCGGTTACGGCTGCATCGTTCTTGCATGCAAATCCATTCACCTTGACTCCTACAAGTAAACATATTAGGGAATTATTTGTTTAAGATCAGAGTTTTTGACTTTGTTTTAGTTACCTGCAGATACGTTGGCCACGCAGATATCCTGGAGAAGATCGGGATCAGATTTAGCAACGCTGGAGAGGGCAACAACGACGACGAAATATGCCAAGAATTTGGCGGCCATGGAGATTTAACAATGAAGAGAAGCAAAAGGTTTAATTATAGATTTCAGAGAAAAAATAAAGTACTTGTCTGATTGTTGGATGAGAAAGGGAGCTATCCTGTTTACTTTATATATACATATGGAGAAAATGGGTAATCGGGTATGAACCGGTGGAATAAATTATAAATATATGATAAAGTTTTTCTAAAATGGGGATTAATAGAGCTTAAAAGTAAAGAAATTTATTTAGCTTGCAGATATATTTTGAAAAAAAAAGGTAAAATTCTGTCATTAGTTCTAATACTTTGTGTAAGTTGCAAATTTAGTCCTTACACTCTTATTTGATTATTGTCAATAAAATTATTTAAATTGGAGAGTAGAAAAAAAATTTATAATTTATGTTTAATACGTGAACTAATAGCAATATTTGACTTAGTAGATTTAAATAGTGACTAAAATTTAAAATTTGAAAATGTATAGCGATTAAAGATGATATCATTGGAATACAAAAACAAAATTCACAACTTATTAATAGTGCAGGGACTGATAGTATAATTTGACAGAAAAAATTATTTCAGCAACCAATTTTGACCCTATTTAAATATTGATTACCGATCGGTGGACAATATGTAACCAAGAAGAAACCCTTTAAAATAATTTGTAAGGCAATATCCATTTGGTGCAAGAAAAGTATTGGACTTGTGGAAAGTACATCATCAATGACCAAATGAGCTGATAATTTAAAGAGAGAATATTGGAATCAAAAGAAAATATTGTAAATATGTACTTAAAAATTGTAAATATTAGATTTTTATTTTCTCCTTGTGAGGGTATTAATTAATTATCCACCAGTTCTAACTGGCTCATATGTCAGAACAGAAATGATAGTTGGATATTGAACGTGTAGTTTACCCTTAAAACATTTTGTCAAGGGAAAGCGATTCCCCAGGGTAGGGAAATGGTACGTATTACCGATACTTACGGTGTGTTTGGTTCACAGAATGTAAGATTATCAGTGGAAAAAAATATTATCAGGGAATAGGATTACTGGGAATGTTGTATTTTGTATTTGGTTGGTTTAGCAGGAATGTAAGATTACCGTGTTTGGTTAAAGGAATAAAAGATTATTTGAATGTATATTTAACCAAATTGTCCTTATTATATATTTGTTTTTTTAACAAATTGGAAAATATTTATATATTTTCTTTAAAAAATTTAAATTCATAAAATTTATATAATTTTTTTTACAAAATTGAAAATATAAAAAGGTTTTATGAAATGATAAAATTTTATTTTAACCCCTGAACTTCATATAAAATTTTAATTATAGATTTTTTTTGTAAATCTAAAATAGTTTAAGGATAAATTTGTAATTTAATATTCGTAGAATTTTTATTATTCAATGACATAATAAAGATATTTTTGAAAGAAATTTTTTAAGGGCATTTTAGTCCAAAACGCCGGTAATCCAACAATATCTAAGGAAATGGAGGTAATGAGATTCTCGGTAATATACCCAAAAAAATCCACTATTGGTAATGTAAGATTACCGGAAATGACATCCTCAATCAAACACACCCTTAGGGTTTATCTTTTATAGTCTCAAACTTTGTTATTTATTCTCCAACATCCTCCTTTAACGACAAATTGTCCTTACATTAAAGGTTTAATAAAGCTTTAAACCATATTTATTTGATATTTATAAATAAATAAATTGAAATGGGACGGATGACATTGCAGGGGCTGTTGAACAGGTCCCATCCAGTAGAAGCTTACATTTTAAAAGATCGTTACCGGTTGGTTCATGCAGCATTTCATTATAGTTGTGGTTATTGACACGCTTTAGATAAAGTGGTTATCTGCATCTTCCTGGCTTTAATGCAAAGTTGAAGTAATATATGCTCTTCCTCTTTTTCAAAAAATCCGACCATCTCGAAAGTTAATAGCAGAGATCGATGCAGACATGCCCGATGCCGATGCCGATGCCGCGAATATGATTGTCCGAAAAACGGAAAACTAGTGTGTAGTTGCTTAATAACTACCCCTTCCTTGAAAACCATTTACTGTTGAGGCAATTTGAAATTGTGACAAAAAAAGAACAAAAGAAGAAGAAGAAATCATCCAGAATACCTCCAATGAAACATCATCGTGATATTTACGCCGATCTCCATGAGGTATGTCGAGCAACTCATGAAAATCCATTCCTGCAACAAAATCCCATCACTAAAATGTACAAAACAACACTTTGAGTCTATTCATGGTTTTCACAAATTGCATTGTATATCAACCGTTTTCCGAGTGGGAAGAAGAAAATCATGGAACGCTTCAAGCCAAGAAATATGACAAGGTCGCAGTTTTGCAGTTGGTTTCACAAGAAACTGCCATTGATTATGCGGCTACATCTATCCAGAAGACTACAACCTTAACTAACATAAGATATGATGAAAGGATAGCATAGTCGATAATCTTACCAACAACGAGGTATTGAGCAGGATCACCGTCAGGAATATTTTCCATGAACCATGTGACATGGGCAACAACCTCTTCATTGCTGAAATACTCGTAAAGCCCATCGGATGATAACACATAGAATTGGTCACTTGAGTAGAGTAGATGGTGAACAACAGAGGGGATGCAGCTAAGATAAGGAGCATTCCCCACATAATCAATTTGAAACATCTCCAGTAGAGCTTCATTACAAGTTGGTTGCACCCGATAAGTGAAATGAACAAGGAACCAAATTATTTCAACATCAATTCAATCAGATAGGCCTTCATAAACATGGCAGCCAACAAATCCCAAGAAAAACAAAGGCACTACCAAGCATGATCCATGTTCGACTCACTGAAAAATTGGTCCCCAAAATGTTCTATAACAGGAAACTACTATACTAGAACCTAAATGTTCGTCATTAACCGACATCACGAAACCTTCAGGCCTAAAATACCGAAAGAAATGCTCTCTGTGACCAAATAATATATGATACAGCACGTTATTTTTGCATATAAAACTCAAGATGGGAGCAAGAAGCAAAAGAATGATGAAGGAATTGTGTCAGGTTGTAATTATTTTACTCATAATCATCGTAGTTTCTATAATTTTTTTTCTGTTCTACTAGTTATTCAAATCTCAAATGAGAAAGAAAATCTCAAAGTTACAGATGCCAGCTCAACCAACCTTCTTCATGAAACCAGCGCCAAAAGCTCTAGTGACTTTCAACTGCCCCTTCACCCTATCATTTGAAATGGCTTTGTCATCATCAGGATGCTCTGCTTTTATTCTTAAGATTTCCTGCCAATAGACAGTCATGGACAGGTAATTATTCCCCAAATGGCATCTGAATTCACTTATCGTTTAAAAACTATAAAACTGATGACAAATAATCAATCGACTGTTTATCTTAGTTATTCAAATTGACTACAGTCACGGGTGTAGTCCACTTGGCAACAGAACGATAACAAGTCCACTAAAGGAAGATACATCCACCATGTGAGTAAAAGACCCACCATTTTTTCAGCTGAACAACTTACAGTACCTAGCCAGCATGCTCTTTTAACATAAAATGTTCCTAGCCAGCATGCTCTTTTAACATGAAATGTATCAAGTAAAAATCAAATTATCAAACAAGTGGCAGAAAAATAAAGGTGTTGAAGTGATCCTATATTATATTGATGATTTGATTTTATCAATTGTTTACAATCTATATGACCATATACAAAATGCATAAAAATTTGTACACTTCAATCACTCTAGATTCAAACGCCACATCCAACAATAATCTCCCTGCATGTTTGTTATGAAAAGAAGATTTTCACAATTTACAAAGGCATGAAGATGATGAATATCATCCACAGTCCAAAATATAATAAATTCAGTATCTGTAAATGTAATCTTGAGCTTGTCAGTAAACAGTAGCAAACCTCTTCAATTATAATGCAGCAAATGATGAGGTACTTTCAAATGATGCAGCAGGCTCTTGGACATGAATAGCAAACATCGCACTTTGATTACCATTCGCACTGACAGAAGCACCGAAAACTGTCCTAAATGTGGTTTCTGGAAAAATCTTATTCATTCTTTGTAGTCCTGAAGGTTCCTCGATGGTATCATTTCTAAATGACCCACTCGAAGTCTCGGAATCGAGAGTACTCGAATCAACAGTATACCTCGGTATGGTTTTAAGCTTGTCAAATTCCAATTTGGTTTTCGATGTCTACTCTACTTTTTATATTTGATGTTTTCTCATGCTCTTATGTCTGATTAAACTTATACTCACCTGTAGATAAAACTGATCAAATGTAAGTCATTTAGAGAGAACAACATTCTCTTTACCACTAGAATTGTTCCTTGGATTGTACTTTCAAATGCAAATTTCTGGAAAACACTGTTGAAAGAAATTTGAATCCGTATACTATACTCGAAACTTCCCAAATCAAGATTCAAGATTCAGAACTTAAAACGAATCAGAAAATAATACATGAAACTGCTCGAGCAAGTGTAATTTAAAGCCTGCCATCTATCTCCATATTCTACCCTGTTATTTACAACCCTAAAACCATACACAAGTAATCAGGAAAGGTACATGAATCTCTCTAATGCCAACTCCAACCGAAGTATACCAAATTCATTCCACCAAAAGGATTTCGATGGAGAAAAAAGAAGCAAAACTGAGAACTAAAAACAATAGTCAATGATAGTTGAGAGTAGAATTGACAGCTTCAATGCCTGGACGTGGATGCAAGTGCCACTGCTTGTGCCCACACCTTAAGCCGAGCCTTCACATCTCTCGGGTGATCACCTACACGGCAAACAATCCCACATCAGATGAACTGAAATATGCAAATTAAAGCCGAATCAGATAAGAAGACAATGGTTTTTACTAACCAGGGCTAGATATACGCCAGTTTGCAATGGGGGAATTGCCACCACTACTGGTATTATCAAAAGTGGAACCTGACAGCGAAACACGACCGGGCATCTCGAACATCCGCTCATGTTCCAACTCGAACCCAAGATCCCGACACGCCTTCACTTCCTCCAAGTCCATACACAACGACCTGTTCCCACCTTTAGGCCTTGTAATAACCACGACACCTCCCCCTTCACTCTCCCCACTGAAACTCCCACTGTAATTGCTATAGCCCGCCATTAAATCACCATCTTTCTTTTTGCTCTCACTTTTACCACCACTTACCTCCGCCCATTTCTCCCTTGTGACCCTCCTCTTCCTCGGGTTCTTGCCCCGACCGCTCCGTCCTTTTAGCCTCCCCAAACCACCTTTTTGAGATTCGTTTTCACTGGCGTAATCTTTCACCACCATCAGTATCCCGGTTCTGTTCCTCCTACGAGGCGGCGTGGCGGGAAGCGAGTAACAGCTAGGTTCTTGGTCGGAGTCCGATGACAACTCGAGAAACTTCTTTGCGGAGAAATCTCCGTCCACGTCTGCATCAAAGCTTTCGATCGACAATCTCGACATGTCATTCGACATCCCCATATGATCATCATCATCATCATAATCATCCCCATCATTAGTGTACATGGAAAGCCTGGACAAGTTATGTGGATGAAACCCAACATCAAGATCATCGTACTCATCGTCTTGCAAAGAAGAAACAACCGTCATACTTTCATCTGATGCCATTTTTTCTTTTCTCTGCAACGAAAGAAATCAAAGAAAGTGAAGAAGGTAAAGCGTTCTTCAATTGGCGTTTAAGCTTTTTGTGAATCAGTTTTTGTTTTTCATTTCATGATGAAAGCTCTCTGCTTCAACCACACAATTTATACTTGCAAAATGGCACTATAATGCTCATATTTTACTCACTAAATGACCTTTTTAATATTAAAAAAATGAATTTTGGCCCCAAAAAGAAAACTTAACTGAAAATGATGTCCACGCGGCAACGCTGAGAGAAATGACGTATAGAATCAGCTGAAGAGGAGAGTGTCCCACACCACTCAGTTTAGAACACGTAGCTTCGGACGACATCCTTAGCTGCTGCTAAGATTGTTCGATCCGTTGCCGAGTCACGACTCACCAGCAACTAGAATCAAACAAAGATCGCGACTTGCCCGCACGATTTCCCAACACCTGGGCCGGCTTCGAAATCAATGTACTGTTTTTGTTTCTTCTGGTTAATTTATTATTTCACTCGTGAATCATATCTATTTTTATTTTAATACTTCAATTTTGTTATTTTAACAAATAATCTATAAGTTTTCTTATTTTAGAAAAAGAAAACCCACATATAATTAAAAATATTTTATTTAATGTGTCCCATTTTCTATACCATTTTAGATAAATTGAGACATGTTATATTCCCTATTTTTGAGGTATTAATTTGGAACAATAAATTTCCCTCGATTTAAATATGATCTCGTAATGAATAATTCTATTATAACTCAAAGTATGCTTTTGACCACATATTATACTTGCAGCTATTAATCATCAATATAAAAATCAATAGGTGTAATATTTTGACGAAAATAATCACTTTATTTGTGAACGTTTAATGTATTAGTAAGTTAGACTCGTTATAATTCTAATATTATTTGTCATTAGACATTGATTCTCTTCTAATTTATCTCCTAAAATTAAATTTATATATTTCCCATGTCCTATTAAATTTGTCTTTTATTGATCTTTTTTATTTTGTTAATTTTTTTAACTTTTACTCACTATTATTTAAAATTTATTATTGATAAAATATAAAAAAGATATATTTTAAAAACATTAAATCAACTTGTTTTTGAATATATATTTTATAAAATTTAAATATGTAAAAATAATTGTGGTCAAAATTTAAAAAATTTAACTTTTAAAAAGACAACAAATGACAAATATAGTAGAATGAAAGGGAGTAGCATATAATTAAATTTTCTCTCTTGTAAGAAATATAAAAGGGCTAAGGGACTTTTCTTTCTTTCTTCCTTTCTCTCTTCCAATCAATTGATTCGCTACTATCTTTAGTCTATCAAATCACCATAGATTATTATTTCACTCGTTAATCGTCAATCAAATTTAAATATTTTAATTAATAAAATAAAATTTAAAAAAAAAGTAAGTATTAAAGTTAAAAAAAACTGGTGAAAGGATATGGAAAAAAATCAATATCCCCAAGATGTTCTTTGAAGATAGACCTACAAAAGGCCTTTGACACTCTCCATTGGGGCTTGATTTCAACAATCCTAAATGCTCTACAACTACCAAAAACCTTCATTGACTGGATTGAAACTTGTTTCTCAGGTGCAAGATATTCCATCTCCTTCAACGGAAGCCTGATTGGATACTTCAAGGGTAAAAGAGGAATAAGGCAAGGCAACCCGCTATCCCGTTTCTTATTCGTCCTCTCAATGAACGTGTTATCCAGAATTCTTAATTTGGCTGCTGCGAGAGGTATGTTTGGCTATCACCCTAAATGTAAGAAGATAGGTCTCACTCACTTAATGTTTGCAGATGATCTTCTTATATTTTGCAAAGAAAATATGGAATCAATTGTAGGGGTCACTATTGTGTTAGACAATTTCTATGAAATGTCCGGCCTTAAGCTTAATGCGGCCAAATGCGAATTATACGTTGCTGGTATCTCTACTAATATCCTGGGATCCATTACCAAAATTACGGGGTTCAAACAAGGATGCCTACCTGTGAGATACCTAGGGGTCCCTTTGGTCACTAGGAAACTCTCTGAAAAGGATTGTACTGTCCTCATTGATAATATTAAGTCCATGCTTTATCATTAGCCATGAAAACTCTTGTCTTATGCAGGTAGACTCGAACTTATAAGAGCTGTCTTGTTCAGTGTTGCTAACTTCTGGTGCAGGCAACTATTTGTACCTCAATCTATTATTAAAAAGATCGAGCAATTGTGTTCTCGATTTTTCTGGAAAAGTTCAGACAAAGCATCAACTGGAGCTAGAGTAAGCTGGGCAACGATTTGTCACTCGAAATCTGAAGGAGGGCTTTGTTTAAAGGACATAAAAACGTGGAATAAGGTGTGAATGATTCAACTCATTAGAAGTATCCTAGCGGGTGAAGGCTCATTGTGGGTTGCTTGGCTCCAAAACTATGCCCTATACGATTTTGGTACATTGACAGTGGAACAAATACCAACTGGGGCTTCAGAAAATTACTTAAACTAAGGAGAGAATCAAACGTTGTTTTCTCAACCGGAGCAACTAAAATTTGTACAATTTGGGAAGAGCTTAAGGTAAAGAAATACAAAGTTCCTTGGCATAATCTGATATGGTTTCCTCTCCACATTCCCAAACATAGCATGATCTCTTGGATGACTATCTTGGACAGACTTCCTACTAAAGACAGACTTCAACAAATGGGAATTATAACCGATGGTTTATGTGCCTTGTGTAAAAACTCACGGGAAACGAGAGATCACCTGTTCTTTGAATGTCCACTAGCAAGTTCTCTTTGGAAGGACATCCTACTACTAACCGGCTTGCGGAGATCTTCATTGTCTTGGGATAACCTACTGTACTGGGCATGTGGCAATTGGAAAGGTAAGTCCCTCCTAACAAATATTTTGAAGCTTGCATGGACTTCATTTATTTATTCTCTTTGGGAGGAAAGAAATAAAAGACTATTCCAAGGAAGCTCCAGAAAAGTTGATGAAATTCTTAAAGTTATTAACACTAGAGTAAAACTGTACATTTGCGGCGTTTTTATTACCTATAGCGGTGTTTTTAAGTGCCGCAAAAAACACATGCGGCGCTATAACAAACGCCGCAAAAAGCGCCGTTGAAAATAGCGTCGCTAAAGTTCGCGGCGTTTGGTAACAAAAAAATGCCGCAATAGGTAACGATATATAGCGGCGTTTGTTGGAAAAACGCCGCAATAGGTGTTGATATTTAGCGGCGTTTTTCCAACAAACGCCGCAATAGGTGTTGATATTTAGCGGCGTTTTTCCCACAAATGCCGCAATAGGTGTTGAGATTTAGCGGCGTTTTTCCCACAAACGCCGCAATAAGTGTTGAGATTTAGTGGCGTTTTTCTACAAACGCCGCAATAGGTCTTGAGATTTAGCGGTGTTTTTCCCACAAACACCGTAAAAGATCTGGTATATAGCGGCGTTTTTTAGAACAAACGCCGCAAAAGGTCATATCTATAGCGGCGTTTTATGATACAAACGACGCTAATTACCTCTCTATAGCTAAAAGAAATTGATTTTGCAAATTAAAACTAATTTGCCAAATGTTGTTTTCCACTCTTTTATTACCGAAATTTAACCTGTAGCATTTTCCAATAAACTTGACATCCATAACAACAAACTTAAAATCCATAACAAGAAAAATGAAATCCATAATAATAAATCAAAGTTTACATTAACGTAAATATAATGTAGTTCAACATTATTAACTATAATAAACAATAATATCTAAGATATTTTGCTTCTAATCTTACACATTCTTCAAAACTCTTTGTCAAAATGAGGCGCTTAAATTCAAAGAGATAATCCAGTTTATATGGGAAAACAATGATGCAGAGCTAGTATCGTCCTGTCATTTCTTGCACATATATTTTGCTTCATGAGGTCTTACTCCAATTGGCATGCCACTTGAAAAGGCCCCATCCATGGCAATGCAAACCCGATCTCTAGTTTCATATCCAAATAAATCATCAATTTATATGAAAATCCATTATATCTTACGTTAAAAAAGTTAACAACACATTTCTGCATGGTCAGTCCCAGCAGTCAACAACTCTGTGGCATGGGCAACCATCATGATGATAAGCAAAATATAGAGATAGATCTTAATAATTGTGCAGAAACATCCAAGCTTGAATTTCATGATAACTTCTAACAGCTTATCGGACCACACATATTTTAAATCAATAGCACCCAGAAAAAGGCTCCAAAACTGCATTCCTAACAAACAGAAAGATATAAAGATGGAAATATGACAGCTTACCAAGGACCAAATCCTTTCAAGCATTCTGCTAAAACAACCTGAGAACAGACAAAAGCACAATCTAACTTATAGATAAGGAAGCAAAAAGAGAATTTAACGGAGATTGTAAATTAATATTTTTTCCTCATTTGTCACCTCAGTATTTTCCCCTAAAAGCTATACAAGGAAAAGAAGCAATTATACTTTGCAACTAGGCAAAGTATGACAAAACCAAAAAATGCAGAAAGACTAAAACTCTTACCCCATGAGAAATTCACCATAACCACTTTTTTGTTTTCTTTTTTGTTCGAAACTTGTAAGTTCATTGATATAGATGAAATATGCTCAAGATAAAAGCACTCACCCATGGCACGTAAGCTACCGTAAAGGTAAAAAGACCCAGAAAACTCATATGTATAAAAGGATTTTGCTTGCTCCACACATAAACCTACAAGTTGTGGTGAATAAGATGGCTTCCAAAATGGCTATCAGAAAACATAAACACTGAATAAACGTATTTTGAATGTAACCGAGCGCATATAGGCTTACCATCATGAATGTCAATGAATTGCTTAGAAATATGATTCTTGCAAATGATGCCGACAGATAAGGTATCATTTCGCCAATAAGCACAATGACAGTTAAGACAGAAGCTCCAAACAAGAGCATGTAAAGGAAATCTGTAGTCCTTCCCCTAAAAGTGTTCTCTTCAAGGAGTTTGCAGTATCGAGCAAGAAAGAACATGTGAAACATGAAATCCAAATCTGGCATATAAAGGGGTACCATGTTAAAGGTGCTAATCGATTTGAGATTACTATATTCAATCATAATCACATAGACATGTTCGGATAAGAATTACAAATCATAAAGATATTCAATGTCATTCATGGTGTAAACTCCAAAGAAAGTTAAAAAAAATGAAGGGTGATATAGAATTGATTTTAGTTCTTAAAGCCTAACTCCTTTCACTTCTATCGACACTGATTCTATTCAAGCTTTTAAAACAATAAGAATAGACAACTGCATTTCCATACTTTCACTAAAAAATGGAATCATAATAGAGTCGACTCTTATAGTTTCGGTAGGAGTATGTATATTTATTGAGCAAAAACATCCATGGCATTTTCATAATTTTGGTCCACCGCATAACAAACCAGAGATATCATAACATCCAGACATAAAATCACATGAAATTTACCCATCTTGCGGAAGTATAGGAAGTTAGTAACGAGGCGCCAGAATTGATAATGCTTAACCACAAGCGTAGGGTTCAAGTACAGATTATAAGGTGATATTATCTGCAAAGAAAATCAGATTAGCACAACAATGCAAACAAGTTCTAATTCTTATCAAAATCACGATGGGAATATAAATCATAAATTGCCTTTCATACAAAAAATGTTTCCTGCCCAAATTCCTAACTTTCTTGAAACATGAGTGAAAACCCATGGGTCAAATCCAATGTAAATCAATAAATTTCATTAAATTGAGACAAACACGGATCAAAACAACCTAAACTAACCACACCCATTTGCACATAAACATAAAAAAATGTGTCGAAATCATTGAAAATTGAAACTCAATAATCAAAATCATTGACCAGATTGAAAAATAAATAAATCCAGAAAAAAAAATGGAATAAGAGGCATACTTCGAGAGAGCAACCAATATTGATTACAACAGAAACTGTGAGATAAGAGCGGATGATGACCGGCATCTGCTTATACCATTCTTCAATGGCTTGAGCCATATTCTTTTAATTTTACAAAATAAAAGAGAGCTCATTTTCAAATTTCTATAACAATAAAAAAGAACAAAAACAATCGAAATGCAAACTCGATCAAATTGAAGGACTTGTACATATAGGGGTTAATGCGAAAAAAGAAAAAGTAAAGAAGAAAGAAATGATTCTAACCTTTCCTGTGGAGAGGAAAATTTTCGAAAATAGAAACATGAAATCAAAATATCCCAAACAGAAAAACACCCTAAATACAGAGAGTTATTAGAGCTGGAGTTAGAAATTTAACCCTGTTTATGTGTTGGAGTTATGCAGAGTAAAGCAAAGGGGAAATGATAAGCCTTTTCCTTTGGATTAGTAAAACGGTGAAGGGACCGAAGCAAAGAGGGAAAGAAGAAAATAGCGCAGCAAGCAAATAAATTTTCTGGGATCATGATGGGCATTTTTAAACAACAGATTTGTTGGGTGTTTGCAATCGACGGGAAGCAGAAAATGTTGCGGCGTTTTTAAAGCCAAACGCCACGAATATACCAAACTATTGCGGCGTTTGTAAAAAAATGCCTCTACAGTACTACTATGTTGCGGCGTTTGTTAAAAAAAACGTCACTGTAGATGAAATCTATTGCGGCGTTTGTAAAAAACGCCGCTAAAAGTACTACTATTTTGCGGCGTTTGTTGAAAAACGCCACTATAGATTAAACCTATTACGGCGTTTGTAAAAAACGCCGCTAAAGTACTACTCTATAACAACGTTTGTTAAGAAACGCCACTATGGATGAACCTATTGTCGCGTTTGTATAAAAACGCCGCTAAAGTACTACTCTGTTGCGGCGTTTGTTGAAAAAATGCCACTATAGATGAACCCTATTGCGGCATTTTTATACAAACGCCGCTAAAGTATTACTATATTGCGGCGTTTTGTATAAAAACGCCGCTAACGTTACCATTTTGTGGTATTTGGAGTGTAAACGCCATTGTATGTTTAAAGTTAGTGGCGTTTACTCTCAAAACGCCGCTAAAAACGCCGCTGTAAAACAGTTTTGCTGTAGTGTAAGGAGTTTGTTAGTGTTCAAATAAGAGACAGGAAAATTAATAGAACAGATAGAGTCAATATTTCTCTTTGTATTCAATGGGGGCATTGAGTAGCCTTTATTAGTATGTTGGTTGTTAATGCTCCATGCTGGTTGTTTTGATAATTGTACTATAGCAGTATACTGTTTTTTTTTGGATAATAATATTCTTTTATTTATCTAAAAAAAAATGAATTAGGGTTTTGTTGTTTAACATTCAAGTTTTCATCGGAAATAACGATGTAGGCATCTAGTTCAGTGACTCGTGTATGAATGAAACACGTGAAAATGAAATGTCGAAACTGTAGATAAGAAAAAGGCTTTACCATCCTATACATTAATTGCTTCATAGTACGATATAAAATTATTATTCCACATGCATTTCTTAACAGGATAAATAAAAATTTGTCTATTCACTCAAATAAAAATCATCGGTACAACGATAAAGACTGCTATGGGTATAGATAGGGCGGGTGAGAATGGTCATCATTTTAAAAATAAATTAAAAAAAATTATTTTAATATTTTTACCTATTAAAATTTTATAAATTATCTTCTACTTAAAATTATATAAGATTATCTTCTAGGAACAAATCATGTATCCTTCTATGTCATAATAGTACAAAACTAATTAGATGATTAGGCAACTGATTTCATGCTCGAAATACATTAGTAAAGGAAACAACATCAAAATTTGAAGAAGAAAATATGCCTTCCCTATAAAAAAGAAATAGATTCTTTTACTTTATTAATTGAGAATTGAATCTTGAAAGGATGTAGACAGTTGATTTTCCGTGTTTTTCCCGTGTACCCGATTCTTTTTAGGTTAACCGTAATCGGATAAGCTTAACTGTTTTTTGTGGGGTAGTTGGTCAGGTGTGTTTGGGAGCATCCGGTCCCACCGGACTGTGAAAGCTGATGTATATTACCGCGTTTAAAGAGCCACCTGTCCCCAAAGGCCCAATTGGGGTCCACATGACCACGGCCCGGTTTAGTATCCTCATCGTGCACCCAACACATCATTAATCTTTCATTTTTGTTTATTTTATTGAATTAATTGTTTTAGCCACCCCCGTTATCTTCAACATTTTGTGCGGAGATTAATGGGTTTAGTTAAACAGAGGCGCTCACCGACCGTGGAACCTTTGACTGGACGTTTTACTTACTTTGATTTATTTATTTACATTTTCAGATTTTCATGCCAGCTCTGTTGATGGCAACGGAAAAAGGTACGGCTTATCACTGACGTGGTCCAGATAATGACTGTAATGCTTACACGTGTTAACTGAGACTCTTTAGAAAATAAAAAATAAAATCCATAACTTTTAAAAACAACATTGATTTATTTAATCAGTAATAGACTTATATTCAAACCATCAAAATAACCTATAAAATTTTAATCCGAAAATAAAATTTAAATAGACAATTCAAATAACTAAAATAAAATTACAAGCAAAATCAAACGAATGAAAAGCATCTTACAAAAGTGAAGCTTCACAAGTTAAAAATAATTATACAAAATTGTTATATTAAGTTAAATGAGTTTGCATACATAATTATTAAATAAGATCCTACAAATAATATATTTCCGATTAAAGTAAATATGTATTGTACTTAGAGAACGACTATTGAAACTCCCTCGATGATATAGCTACTTTGACTCGAATACAATCATAATCTAACTATTAACGTAACAAAATATTTCGAAAATTAAATTTTACAAATTTAATAATACATATCACTCAACATATATGATATGAAAGATGTAATATAAGTAAATTAAGCATAGAACAGACTTCAAAAATAGATACACAAACATAGTATTACAAGCCAAAACGATTATCCATACCCATATATTTATATATGAGGAAAATCAAAGGTTGTGATTAATGGTAAGAAATGAGAAGATATTCATCGGGAGAAATGAGTTAATATCGGCCTTTGATTTTCCTCATCTACCAATCCTAAAAAGATATAAAATTAAGAGTTGTACACCGAATGGAAGTGGATTCTAACGTTACATATAAACTCGAGTACCCATACCTTAAATCTTTGTAGCACCTAATAGAAAAATAGATTTACATGAAAGTTCAGCAAGATTACAAAGTAAAGCCTAAATAGGCGAGGCCATACCTTCGGACCCAGAGGAACATTGAGGCCTTAAATCATTGCAGTTTGTAGCACTTGACCCATTACTTCGATTTAGTTAACTATTTTGGTTCTACCAAAGGTTGGGCCTGACTGCCCTACGACAAGGCTTGCCCCCAAAACACAAATTTGTGAAGCTCTAACTTTATGATTGGGCCTCAATGTTCCTCGAGTACCCATCTCTTCGATTTAGTTAAATCCATTATAATTTTCAAAATTATATCAAAGTCATTCGAATCCTATCCAAAAGTTATCAAGATTGTATCAAAGGTTAGTAAATAATAATTACAAATGTCTTCCTTCTATTTAATAAAGATTGAGATTTTAGTTTTTTTAATCATAAGAGATATAGACGAATGTTATGTAGCCGTACAAATTTTGGGACTAGAAATGTCCCTATCAATAAGTTTATGGATTATGGAGATAAGTTCGGTAAAGGTCATCATTGAAATAGCTGTGGATCGAAAAGTTCGGCTAAATTATCGCAGACAAGTTGATTTCTCTCAATCAACAAGTAAATGTCTAGTTTATACGACTACCAACTTTTTACGGAAAAAGACGAGTTTTGTAACTTTTAATAGTAGGAGAACTCAACAAAGCAACGTCCTATAGTCGAAAGATTATTTTGTAACTTTTAATAGTCAGGAGACTCAACAAAGCAGCACCCTATAGTCAAAGGACCATTTGTGTACTTTACCCCAAAAATAACTAAAGACTAGAATTATTATTTTTTCTTTCGAAGCATGAGGGCAACAAGTGTCGTTACTGGGGGTATAAATGAATCATGCAATTGAACATTATGAAATTGAACATGTTTGTTTGTCTGGTGTGGTGCAGTCTGTTCATGTTATCAGATACACGTATGATATGAGGCGTATGAAAGATATTTAACTGACCCTGTATGTATCAACTTGAGGTTGCAGCTCTTGCTTTTATGTTTCTGCGAAAAGTTGTTTCCGTTTTTGTCTGTTTGAAAATTTGAAATAGTCTTGGTAGAAGGTAAAATCGGGACATGCATTTGTGCTTCCATTGATTCAGTTGGTCTGGTTATTTCTTTTTCTTTTTCTTCTTTTTTTACCTTGATAATTAGAAATGGACTAAGGAAGAGACAGATCAATTGTTTGACTTGTGCGAATGGTTTGATCTCCGCTTCATCATTATAGCTGATAGGCTCCCAACGCCCCGGACTGTGGAGGAACTGAAGGATCGTTATTATAGTGGTACTCTGTCTAATTATTCTTTGGGTATAGGAACCTTACAATGTTACTCAATTAGAAAAGTATTTACTTTCAATTGTTATACAGTATCTCTGAAATTATTCTTTGGGTATAGGAACCTTACAATGTTACTCAAGAGATTGAACGCAAGACAGCACTACTTCTATGGCCCTTATTACATCCTCCGACTCTTTCTATGTACGGACCAGAAAGTTAGATCTATTTAACGAATTTACAGCAAAAATTATGTTTAACAGTGATATCCAACTGGTTAGTAATTCAACAAAATCCATTCCATAATTAATTAGATAGACTTAAAATCCATTCCATAATTTTTTTCCTGGAATTTGAAAAGCAAGTTGTCAACAAAATAATGCTGGAAAATCCCCATGGACGCATACCATTTTCTTTTTGTTTATCAACAAAATAGAATTTCAACATTTCAATGCACAATCAAGATTATATGCAACAAGGCAAAGTGAAAGACTATAAACGAACAACAGAAACTAAAAATGTCCAAAAGCAGCCGTACGTAAGGCTATATATGGTAATTTTGTAGGTACTATCTGCGGTTGCTGCTGCTGAATTTGAATTTGAGCCCACACACTGTTTGATGATGAACTAGTAGTAAAAAAACATGGTTCAGATTTT